AGACAGAGATCTATTTTTTCTTTAGTTAAGAGACTAAAGATCTGGAAACAGAATACTCCAAGATTTTCATAGTGTTGTATGTGGATGATAAGACTATAAGTGATTTAAACTTTCTTTCATTTTCAGATTATTTATAATAAATAGACATTGGTTTTTGATAAGAAAAATTCATTAGTAAAAAATTTTAAAAATAAAATCATTCCCCCTTTGTCTTTCACACACACACACACCATCCTGCAATTTTTTCTTCTTTTTTAATGCTAAAGACCCCTTGTAGTGAATATGGGGTATTTTGCACAGATTCCCATTGGCTGAGTCATTCATTCCCCAATCTACTAGAAATATTGACTGCATCCCTCTGTAGGAACTGTGCTCAGTTGCAACGAGCTGCTTCACTCAAGGTTTCACCTCCTCTCCAGGATCAGTCCATATCTAGTGACTCGTTATATGTGCGTACAAAGGTCCAGTCTCTTGCCTCCATTTGGGACAACTCTGAAGGGTCATCTCAGCTCCAGAGCCCCTCATTGGATCAGCTGAGGCTTTTGTTGTAAGTATATCATGATTCAACTTTTTCTTTTGTCTCATCCCACCTCTGTCACTTTCATACAAGTGCTGTTTTCAAGTGAACTCCATAGTAAACCTCCTACACACAAATATTTGTCTCAGTATCATGGGGAACATGACCTAAAACAGCCAGAACTAGGAGTGGTGCTAGGAAGCTGACTCTAAAGTGGGATTTTGAAGTTAGATCACACAACGGCAGACTAGCAATGAGGATACTGTCATTGGTGGACAAAAGAGTACTGACAGTTCCTGCTAAAACTTCTACTGGTGATGAACTTGCCACTCCCAGGCAAGATTGAAAGAAAAAAACAGTATCACTCAATTGTGTTCTGAATTGCACAAGTTTTTGACAGTAAGTCTACTGTCATTCTTAATTTTGTTCCTCTATGTAAAGTGTGTTTTCTCTGACTGCTTTTAAAATTTTTCTCTTTATCACTGTTTTAGCAGCTTGATTGTACGAACCTTGATGAGGTTTTATGTTTCTTCCACTTGGGGTTACTTGAGTTTCAGTGGGTTTATGATTTTCATCACATTTAGAAAAAAGTAAGCCTTTATTTCCAGTTGATAATTTTTGTGTCCTTTCTCCTTCTTTGCTCCTTCCTAGGTTTTAATTGCATACATGTTACTCAGCTTTATATTTTTACTCAACTCACTGAGGCACTGGTTTTTTTATTTTGTTTTATCTGTAATTTATTTTGGATGGTTTCTATTCCCATGTCTTCAAATTCACTGATATTTTCTTGTCCTGTGTCTAATTTGTTCTTCTCTCATTTCACGTATTTTTCAATTTGGATATTTTATTTATCATCTCTATAATTATCTGGATCTTTTCTGTATCTTCCATTTCTCTTGCTACCTTCCAGATATATTCTAGAGCATATTTATAACATTTATAATAACCTTTTTGATTTCTATCTGTTAATTCCATTATCTCTGTCATTTCTAGGTGTATTTATTTTAATTTTTCCTCTGGTTACGGGTCATATTTTTGTCTCAGTCTGGAAGGAGCGCTGGTGGCATAACGGTTAAGTGCTTGGCTAACTGAAAAGTTGGTGGTTTGGACCCAACCAGTGGCTCTGCAGGAAGACCTGGTGATCTGCTATTGTAAAGATTACAGCCTAGAAAACCATATAGGGCAGTTCTAGTCTGTCACATGGGGTCACTACGAGTTGAAAATCGATTCAATGACACCCAACAATAGCATGTCTGATAATTTTTGATTGGATGCTAGATATTGTGAATTTTACATTGTTGAATGCTGAATTTGTTGTATTTCTTTGGAGTGTTGAAATTTGTCTGGCACACAGTAAGTTACTTGCAGACCAATTTGAACATTTCAAAGTTTGCTTTTAAGATGTGCTAGGGTGAGCAGCCCTGGTAGCACAGTGGTTAAAATGCTCAGCTGCTAACTGAAAGGTTGGTGGTTCAAACCCACCAGCTGCTCTGCAGAAGAAAGATGTGGCAGTCTGTTTCTGTAAAGATACTTGCGTTAGAAACTCTATGGGGTAGTTCTACTCTGTCCTATAGTGTCACTATGAGTCAGAATTGATCCAATGGCAACAGGTAGGTCAAATCAATAGCAGCTTTTATTCTAGGGCTAATTTGAACCTACTAGTAAGGCATTCTGGAGCCCTGGTGGTGCAGTGGTTAAGAGCTTAGCTGCTAAACAAAAGGTGGACAGTTCAAATCCACCAGCAGCTCCTTGGAAACCCTATGGGGCAGTTCTACTCTGTCCTATAGGGTCACTATGAGTCAGAATTGACTCGACAGCAACAGGTTTAGTAAAGCATGACCCTTCTGAGGATGCTACTCAATGCCCCAGTCTGTCTGGCTAGCAGGAATGTGAACTATTCCCAGCTTTTTGTAAGGTCCGGGAATTGTTGGCTTACTGCTTTCCAGTCATTCATTCCTTGGCCTTGTGGATTAGTACTCAATTGACTTCCTTCACCCCATGCCAAATAGTACTCAACAAAGCTCCTAGGGGATTATTCTACAGATCTCTGGAGCTCTTGTTGCAGTCCCCTAAGTTGTCCTGAACTCTTCAATTCATCTCTGGCACCTCAATTCAGTGAGACTACTGGGCTCTATTTTGGTTTGCCTTCTCTGTACTAAGGAGCCCTGGTTGCACAGTGCTTAAAGAAATCGATTGCTTACTTAAAGGTTGGCAGTTCAAAGCCACCAGTTGCTCCATGGGAGAAAGACGTGGCAGTCTGCTTCCCTAGAGATTTACAGCTTTGGAAACCCTATGGGGTCGATCAACTTGACGGCAGTGGATTTGGTTTTGATTCTCCCTGGACTGTGGCCTGGGAACTGCCCCCAGGCAGTAATCTAGGTCAATCATAGGACCCACCTCCTTTGTTTCCTTTCTCTAAAGGATCGTAGTCTTGTGTCACCTATAGTCCAATGTCTGAAAACAGTCATTTCATATATTTCATCTGGTTTTCTAATTGCTTATGGTGGAAGGGAAATTCTTGAAGCAGTTCATCCTTCACAGGTGGAAGCAGAAGTCATTAACATATCTGAAGCTAGGTTTTGATACAAAAATTTTCTTTACAATGAGCAAAAGTTAACAATGCTTTTACTTGTCTTATACATCAACCTTTCCCTAGTATACATTCTGAGTTTTCAGAAGAGACAAAAATAGCCAATCTGCACACCTATTTTCAGTTCTGAGAAAATAAGATTCTTCATTAAATGCTCCAGCTGTTGTACTTTATTGTGTTTAGAACTAAGTTTATCCCAGTGAATTGACTGATCCAATTTATTTCTTTCAATTTAGAGTTTAATAGTATAACTAGCTATTCTTCATTTCCCTCCTTGAAATGCCTAATTTCAACAGTAACAACACACATCTACACTCTTCACCTTATAAAATGTTTGCTGGAGAGGTAGATTGCCAGGATACAAAATTCCAGAACTTAACTCCACCAAACATGAGGTCAAAGATATTACCACTGATGTTACACAAAATACGTTGTGAGATATGAGGACAGAGATTTGATAGCAAAGGAGTTTTAATCAGCAGAGATCTGCTTAGGTTGAATATAAAGCAAGAGAAAAAGGACTTAAAAGTGAGTGTGAGGTATGATACTGTAATGGTGGATATGACATTATGTATCTGTCAAAATCCATTAGACTGTACGAGACCAAGAGTGAGCCCGAATGTAAACTATAGATTTTAATAGTTAATAGTGTTTCAATTTTGGTTCATCAATTGTAAAAAATGTACCTCACGAATGCAAAATATTAATAGGAGAAATAGTACGGGGTGGGGGCAGGGTGTATGGGAACTCTGCTTTCTGAGCAATTTTTCTATAACCTTAAAACTACTCTAAAGAAGGTCTATTAAAAAATTGAGTGCGGGATTCTTAATTCCAGAAGATTTAAATATGTTGCCTTTTTTGACTGCCGTAACAACTTGGTTAAGAGGATATTATTCACATTTTGTACAGTTTAAGGACAAAAAGGTAGTTAGTGGGAAATTCCATGTACTTTTTACTACTAAATGCTACATAACTGTCTGGACAGTATGTAGGGAGAGTGGATTATTATATGACATCAATTAGCAGAAGTTATTGGAGATGGTGGTGGCAACAACTTCTGGGACCAGAACTACAATATATAAGGTGACCAGACATCCTCTGATCTGGTGGAACCTATGCATTACCACAAGTTTGCTAGACTATTTCATACCTTTTCTCTCTGCAAACATGCAGCAGCCACTCCCCCACCCCCACTCTACTTTCAGTTAGTGACTTTGCTTCTTCTTTCCTGAGAAAGTAAAAGCAATCAGAATTTCCGCATGCAACCAACATCAAATCTACCAACTAACCCATCTATATTTGAAGTGAGATTCTGGAATGGATGTCCATGCTCTAGTCGAAGGCTAAGCCCTGCACTTGTGCACAGATCCCATGTTTTCACATACTCTAGGATACTGCTTCTGATGACATCCACTCTTCCCTGCATCATTAATTTTTCTACTAGATCAAAAATTTCAACCACTGATATGTACAATCAGAACTTTTGTCTCATAACTAAAACCCAGTTTAATGAGACTCACTACCTGTTCACAATTTTGTTTTGGTTCATGTCTCCCCAAAGCAATTGAGGGAAATATATTTTTGCTATGATCTCTTTTAATGCTAGCTATAAGTCTAGGTGATTCTAGTAGTAATAGTTAATATTTATAGACTGCTTATTTTATTATAGGTACTGTGTTAAGTACTTTACGCAGATTATCCTATTTAATCCTCCCAACAGTTCTAAAAGAGAGGTCCTATTATAATCTTCATTTTACAGATGAGGAAATTGAGACTTAGAGAAGTAACTTGTCAAAGGTAACACAGCTGGTAAATAGCAGAGTAGGATTCAAACCGACTTCAGAGTTTATATTTTAAAGTGTTATACTATGATTTTGTAATGTCAATTGCATACACACTAATGCAGATGAAAGGTTAATATATCTTTTATAATATTTATATATTTAATGCCATTTAATAAATACAAAAACAAAATTAAACTGTTACAAAATCCACAATAATTTTTATCTCAATTTGCAACATAATTCACATTATCACATACCTTTAAACAGGAAAAGTTTAAGCATACATATACTTCGGAAGGAATTCTAATCTGGCCCAATAATTTTATAGGTAGGGCTTTAGGGATCAAGATGTGGTCATAATTTTTTGTCCAAATTTTTAATAAAAGTAATGCTAAATGGAACACTACCATTTTATACATCAATAGTATGGAATTACATTGAGAAATCAGAATGGTCACTGAACACTGAGTGTCTGTTATATCCCAGGCATTACATATTTCTTTACACTTATGACTATTAAACAATCCTGCAGTAGACAAGGAAGAAAGTCTGCTTTAAGTTTGTAACAGTTCGATAAAGCAGAAATTTGTAGAACCTTGTATCAAGATGAGAGGCATTTATATTTGATATTATCTTTCAACGAAAAATAAAGCCAGTGTGCCTCCTCCTTCACATTTACTTAAATGTTTATAAACTGTATTTAGGGCACTAATTCTCAAAGCTGGCTCAACACTGGAATTGCCTATACAGTAAAAAAATTCCAATGCCTACATCCCACTCCCAAAATTCAAATTTAACTGGTATTAGGTAGGCCTTGGGCTAATGGATTGTTTTAAAACTATCCAGGTGATTCTAACATGCAGCAAAGTTTGAAAACCACTAACAGAGAGAACTGTCCCATAATATAGAGGCCAGTCTTCAGCTTGCTTTGATTACAGGAAATGTACTGCTATTTTAAGGGTGTATCTCCCTTGATTAGAAAGTAAATACCATAAGGAAAGAGATTTTTTGTTTTGCTCATCACTGTTTCCCCATATGTGGAGGAATGACAGGCACACAGCAGTTGCTAAATAAATGTCTTTAAAATGAATACATGATTGCCTTATACTTCCTTTATATCTCCATCTTTTAGTCGACACATGTTCATAAGAATTCAAAAGATATTTATTAAAAAAAATGAATGACTGAAGCAATTGGGATAAATGTTTAAGGCAAAACCATAATCTTATTTTATATATATACACACACACACGTATATATACACATGTGTATATATACACATATACACACACAGTTAAAAAACATATAAATAGATCAAAATTGGAAAAAAAATATACAAAGGAGTACAATTTTAGTAGTTGAGAATTGTTTTCAAATAGTCTTCACTTTCTTACACTAAGAAACAAAGAAGTAACCCTAAACAACTAGCGAATGTGCCCATGTGCAGATACGTTTTTTTCACTTAGAAATAGAATTACAGCTTAATCTTGATGAACACACATCAGTTTTCAAAATTCAAGTAAATAAAATTCTCATATACATCATCGTAACTTTTCCAGATAGTTGTATAAAAAAGGTTGTTTCTGATTAAAATATTTGGCATCACTTATTCTCATTGTTATTTGCTCTCAGTTGAGATCCAGTATTTTGTTAGCAGTCTTACATTGAACATGCATTTATTAAGCTATTTTGGCACATCTTTACATAGTGTGTTTACTTAGGAAAAGCTTATTAATAACAGACTTCCTTTCTAGTTCTGAATTCTCAGATATGGCTTCATTTGTCAAAGTTCCACAAGTATTATATAATTTTTAATTCAGTATCTTAGACTACGAAACTTTGGTTTTCTTAAAATCAGCATTGGTTGCTTGATTGTAGGTTTGTCACCAAAAAGTGCTGCTTCACTCTCTGTGGTTGGAAATCTTTTCTGATATATCAAGGGATATTCCTTCTGAAACTTAAAATGAGGTGAGGATTAAGAGGGTATTTAACACAATTTCCCTAGCTGAAGCCAGTGTTCAACATTTTATAATAAATTCATTGCCCTTCTCAAAGATGTACTACAAGGATGAGTCTCCTTTCACTTTGTCCTTCGTCCCTCCTCTCTCTTCTCATATGTGAAAGTTAGACTGGAAGAACTCTTAGATCTCAGTTAGTACTAACATTCTAGGATTTGATGCTGCTGCTAGCCCCCACCCCGCTACATTCCAGACTTTTTCCTTCTCTTTGGTAAAGCCTATTAACGTTACAGGGATCTAGTACCAACTGGTCTATGTTGTATTTCCTTGAGTGTCTTAAACCTGGAATTGGACTTGCCAGAACCATGTGGCTACTGGGTTCAGATTTAGAGCTAAAAATTTCAAATAGTAACGACAAGTCATACAAAGATATTTATTATAATTCAAATTTTATAAGTGCTTTGGCAGACTAACCCTTGCATAATCACAGGAGGCACTAGTAGTAAAGGAGAATATTTTAAAATTAGAATTTGATTCTAAATGTTATCAAATAACAATCAACAGCAGCATGTTAGAAAATAATTACATGACTGAGACTCTGTCCATTCTCTTACCTGTTTTAGTTTTTTTCTTTTCTCCTTTGGAGGCAAACTCTTGTTTTTAATAATATTCTCTAAAAGTTCTGCAATTGCAACTTGAGAGGTAGAAATTTTTTGTTCATCAAACTCTTTAGCACTAATCTGCTTACAATAGGAATAAGTTGGCAAAGGAGCAATCAGTCCATCTCCAGGAATTTTAATCTGTAGTAAACACAGCACAAGTCCATTAATTCTGGTCATGCTCTTATTTGGTGTTCTTTTGATGGAATTTAGCACTTATTATTTCACTACCAATCAAATGTTCAACACATTAAGAAAATGATGTATTAAGCAGTATAGAGAACTGGTAAGTCAGTAGGATCTAAATCCTAGCTCCACAACCTACTACCTTTGTAGCCCTTAACAAGCTATTTAATTTCTCTTGACCTGTTTCCTCAACTGCAAAACGGGGGTCACATGAGATAATATAGTGCTTAGCATGTAATAAGCATTAAATTAATTATTTACTAAACAGCTAAATTGTTATTACTATTAACCATGGGTTTTATTCTTTTAACTACAAAACAATAACAACCTAAGTGATATATTAATTCATTTTAAAACATTAATGTTCTGACTTAGCAATAGTTTTTCATCAACCATTTTTGAAGCCTAGGGGAAAGTATCTGTAAGGGATAGTCATAATTTTGATAAGCCAAGGCAATATTAGAATGATATGTATGGCTTGAAACATGAATATATATGCTGGACAGCCAAAGATTGAATAGACATCTCTTGTTTTTGGCTGCTCAGCATTCCTTCTCTCCTTCTTTTAATAGTTCCTTCCCATTCTACTCCCACTACCCTCTCTTTCTTTGAAGAACAGATTCTCCTTTAATCTATATACACGGATGGGACCGCCAATCAGAGTATGTCCCCGTTTCCACTCCATTTACCCTCAACTATGCAAAGGATGAGCATTTAACCCAGATTAGGCCAATCAGAGTCCAAATCCAGAACTTTTAAAATTAGAGGTTAAAGGGTGCTTTTGTTTTCCTTTGTATTGTAAACATAAGTAGGTGAGTCAAGAGCTTTTCTCAGTCATAGTCCCTGCAACATGAAGGAGTAATCTGTCAAACATAAAACCAAAATGGAAATAAGAGATGGAAGGATGGAAACAGAGTTCCCAAATTCTGTCTACATTCCTGGCTTTTTAGAGGTTGTTTTTGTGAGCTGATAAAGCTCCCCTTTTGATTAGGTTAATTTGAGATGAGTTTCCACTTGAAATTGACTAATGCAGAGAAATTTTAACACGTACAATACCTACATGACCCTTTCTTAAGTAGTCAAGATGTGTTTCCACTGCAGTCTGTAAGTAAGATGGTACTTGAAGAATTTCCTGATGATGATCCATTAAGAAAGAAACTAATCTTGCAGCAAGAAGCTCATCAAGATCCACTTCTTCTGCACAGCATAGCACACACCGGGAAAAAGTATGTATCATCTAGAAACATATTAAAAGATGTGAATTTAAAACATAATGTTTCATATAAATCAGAATATTAGTAATTTTTGATAGCATTATACTGAAGCACTGAGATAAGGTGATAAGCAGATTTCAGCTTAAAAACCAGGACAATAATTTATTAAAGTCAGAAATTTAAGAGTGTCTGTTAAACTTTAGTCCTTTTTAAAGTATTCGTATTCGTTAAGTATTTCCTTAATATAATTCCAAAGGATTACACAAAGCCTTAGGCTTTTCTTTATTTTGTCACAACTTTATCTGTAAACACCAGACGTTCCATGAATACCTTATGTATATAAGTTGCTTAAGTTTGAAGATTAGAGAACAATAGCTTAATGCATTAATCCCACAACAACATAAGGCAGGAGAACATATAACATGTAGAACACTTATCAGTGGTTGCAAAGTTGGTATCATTTGTCTTTTGAAACTCTGGAAATTAGCTTTTAATGCTTATTCCATCTGTTTTAAAACAGCAATCCATAAAAATACATTGTTTAATTCCATCATAAGGAATCTTCAATTCCATGATAAATTTTGTGTTTCTATACTCATTTACTCTCACTCACATAAACCTCTAAAAAAAAAAAACCATACACATACATATTCATCCTAAAATGAGTAAAATATACATATTCATCCTAAAATGAGTAAAATATTAGAATTCTAAGTATTTTGTGCATAGTAAATGATTATTCATATTTACTGAATTGAAATATTTAATATTTTTGGTTTTATTCCTACCTGTCAGGCAGGTTTTACTATCTCTTTTCAAGGCTCAGTCCTCAGCTTTTTGTTCTTTCTCTACGTTCCTAGCCTCGGAGAGCTCATCTACTCTCGTAACTTCAACTACTATCTCTATGTGGATGACTAAAAAAATCTACCTTCTGCTCTGACCTTTCTTCACCAGGCTCACATCTGCAACATTCTGTTGAATAAATTTCACTTAGATGTCCTATAACCTCAAACTCAAAAAGTGTAAAACCAAAATTAACACCTTTCCATTTACGTCTCTCAAAACATCTTCCCCTACAAACTTCCCTATGCCTTTTTATGGTGCCATAATTACTCAAGAATAATTCTTCCTCTTCATATTAGGTCTGCAATTACTAAAGAATTGTCCTTAATAATGAATGGTAGAACAGAACTTAGCTCCAGATCCCTCACTGCTGAAAACCTCTTGTATACTGAAGCTAAAATCTGAGGAAGTAGCAACTTTAAAAAAAAAAAAAAGAGAGAAAGAGATCAGAGATACTATTTCAAGGTTTAATTTCCAATCGATATCTGCATATAAATGCTTCCACCCTCATCCTTACTAGGATACTGAGACTGTCTGACAATAGTGTCTCTCAGTTTCTTGCCCAGAGTGACCTGCTGTCATAATCAAACAGAACTTTCCTATTACCACACTCTCTGAAACACTCTGATTTACTGTATGCAGATTTCCCATTAGTTACCTACTTACACAGAATTATAGCGTCCTTAGATTTCCACAGGGCCTAGACATCCCCTCTTCCCTCTCCATCTAACAGAACTGGCACAAGGTAATACCAATATGGTCTGACAGGCTGGGTCAGTCACTATTAAGTGATATAGGATAAGTGAAGAGGCAAAGTCCAAGGTCAACAGAAAGACCAGGATGTGAAAGTATAACAGACTTGGCACAAATGATTACTGCACCAACATTCTGTTGCTAGCAAATGCAGAGAGGCTTTCTAACTCCCAAACCTAGGATTTCAAGATGAAGACATCACTAGAGTAGTACTTTTAACAGATTTTCTTTTCTTTTCTTTTTTTTTTTTTGTGGTTTATAAACCAGGGCTTATTTTTTTCCTCAAGAAATCAACTTACCAGTGGTCTTGTACCCATTGCATCATGGAGTTTGGGCATATCAACATTTTGACTCATTCGAGAAATCATACGCATTAAAAGTTGAAGCTTTCTACGATTTGGTGGGGGAAGTAACAAGCAACATAACTGTAGAGCATCGATGGCAACCCTCTCTAAATGAGGCTGCAGCAAACCTAGAAGGTAAAGTTGCCGATAGAAAAACAAAATCACCACTGCCACTAATTCATACTACTACCATATACAGTTAGCATATAAAGAAGGCAAAATAATATTTTAGAATTTCATTTCTTTTGACTATTTCTAGAAATTTCCAATCTTCAAATCATGGTAAGGTTCTCATTATTTCCTTCACAACCTATTTCTAAGTGTTAAAGTCCTTCACTTATTACAAATAAAGTGACTCAGAATAAGTGAAACTGAAGGAAAAGAAAATAAGTGCTTTAGGTAAATAGAATAAATCTTGGCTATACTATAAAAAAATCATTTAGAATAAGACAAACTTCGCTTTTGGGGGAAAAAAATAAAGCAATTTCAGAGAAGAAGAACCAGGTAAGCAAAACACAGGGTTAGTAAACACTAAAAGTTAATAGTACATGCATTGAAAGCATCAACCTTACTTTGTGTGCCAGTCAACATAGAAGAAGCTGGAGAAAAAGAATTTTCTGGAAGTTCTATTGTACTTTTGCAGAGTCTTCTACTGAATGTGGTACTAGACTCTCCTGGTTGACTTTCCATAGCTGTTTGTACACTTGTGCTGTCTTGTCCAAGATGACTGATATGATTTGGTTTCACGGTAATTTCAGCCACTGGTGTATTGATGTAACTATTCTTTCTTGTACTACTTCTTAAAAGCAAACTCTGAGATCTACAAAGCTGCTTTGACTTGCATTTAACATTACATAACTCCTTTTGGTCTTGAACAGTCAAAGTAGAGGTTCTCTTACAACCAACACAGAGTGGCTTTTCAAAACTTTCCTTTGAATGAAGATTCAAGAAGGATTTCTGTTTGGGCTTAGACTCTAAAAATTGTTTATTTTTTTGTACTTCTATATTCAGAACCGATTGATGGAAAACACTGGAGACCTCTTTACTTGAGCTGTCTGATATATCTATAATTCCTTCCAAAGAATAGCACCTTGGTTTGATGTTAGAAGGCAGAGCATGCATACTACTTAAGCCTATTAAATTATGACAACTTCCTCCCATTATGTCATTAGCACTGGCTCTTCTGTTTCTTAAATTATCTAGTTGCATTTTCTTAGCACATCTTTCTTGAAATCCTTGATCACTCATCTGCAGTTTCTCAGTAGAATCTGATTCTTCTTTGTTTTTGTCTTTATGAAGCAGACTGAGAAGAAGACACTCAGTTGATTTGAAGGAATTCAAATTGTTTAAGTGAAGGACTTTTGAAGACTGTGGATCATCTTGGATTTTATGTATCCCACTGGGTCTATGTGAAACTGTGACGTAGCCACACACAACTACCAGAAAATGAAACAAAAATTAAGATGCAACTGTGTGACAGTGGACAAAAATAAAACAAAATAATAGTAAAGTCAAAAATAAGCATCACTATAGTCTATATTGTTAGTATGGTAAAAATAGCAGTTGTTTAATTCAGAAGCCACTTAAATAAGACACATGCAACATTCAGTTACAAACGTGCAAGACTGATTGGAGGTTTTCCCACTCGTTGTGATATAATAACTTTAAAAAGTATTTCAACAGTCCAATTAAATGTATTAGACTAGAATATATTTAAATATATCTGCTGTCAGCCTACAATAACTAGATAACTTTTAATTATAAGGTGACCATAATATCACTGAATTTTAAAATAATTTATAGTCTGCTATTTTCATATTTACCTATACTATTAGACCTTTTAATTATGGGAAACTTGAAAACGTTAGTAAAGTGTATTTAAATAATAAGTAAAAATCCATACATACCCAAAATATTCACAAATAATTCATAATATTCAAAGGTAAGTAGGGGTTCCGGGAGATCTAGAAAATAATCTGCAATTGTTCTGAATACATCTCGTTCAAATCCAACATAAGTTGGGTTATTCATATCATTACTTCTTGGCCCTAAGAAGTAGAAGGCAAAACATAGGCAAGATATATATATAAATAATTTTTAAATTAAAAATTTAAATATACTCATAAAAAGTATAAAACTTTTATTTTATGAATGAACTATGCTTTAACAACAAATTCTTACACAATTTAAAATTTCACAGGGTTGTGCACATCTCATTCCTTCTCATTTTCTTTTCACTGGAAATTACTGCAAGCAATTAATAGCATTTTGTTTTATTTTAATATTTCTATATCTGAACAACCAATGACCGCCCTGACAGGGAACACAACAGAGAGTCCCTGATGGAGCAGGAGAAAGGTGAGGTACAGAACTCGAATTCTAGTAAAAAGACCAGACTTAATGGTCTGAGACTGGAGCAACTTCGGAAAGCATGGCCCCCGGACTCTCTGTCAAACCAGAACTAAAACAATTCCCGAGGCCAGCTCTTCAGACAAAGATTGGACTGGACTGAGGGACATAAAATGATACTCGTGAAGAGTGTGCTTCTTAGCTCAAGTTGATACATGACACTAAATGGGCGGCTTCTGTCTGGAAGTGAGATGAGAAGGCAGAGAGGGTTGGGAGCTGGCTGTGTGAACATGGGAAGTCGGGGTGGAGGGGAGAAGTCTGCTATCACAGTATAGGGAGAACAATTAGGGTCACATAACAACGTATGTATACATTTTTGTATGAGAAACTAACTTGAAATGTAAACTTTCACTTAAACTACAACACTAAAAAAAAAAAAATTATACATCTGAAAAATTATACATAAAGCAAAATTTTTAAATATTACATTTTAAAAGCATTAGAGAAGTCTACTTTCAATGGGGCTTAATTGTAATCTTTTTTTTTTAAAGCAAAGACTATTTGGATAATGCAAATAATTCCTCCAAATTATCTTTTGTAAATTGACATTTTCATTAATAAATTTTGCCTGACATGCAGCATACCCTTAATCATTTAAAATAATATCTTTACCCTGGTTTTTTTTTTTCAGTTTAACATGACTATTAAGATAATCATACATACTCATTAGTGTCTATCTCAAAAGTAAGATCTGCTCTTATTTCACAGATGAGGAAACTGAGGCTCAGAATAACTTGCCAAGATCAAATATCCCATGGTGGCACAAGGCTAGAATTGGAATTTAGAGCAGTGTAAAGTAAGAACAAGGCCCAGGACCTTGAAATCCAACGACATTTAAAGTGTGGATAAGGGACTACATACATCAGGATCAACCATGATGTGCCCATCAAAAATGCAAATTCCTCTACCAGATCAGAATCTTTGGAGGTGAAGCCAGAAATTTCTACATTTAATAAGCAGAAGACTCTCTAAGCCTTGTTTTTTTCCCCCTCCAGGGGGGAAAAATTGGGGATGTTATACTGATTACTGATTCCTATATCTCACAGGATCACTGTGGAACTAAATAAGAACTAAAGTCTTAATACTGCTGGTGGCTAAATACATGGTTATTAAATTGGAATCCAATAAATTATATATTTGGTCTCATACAGGTGTAACATGGACTGTGAAGAGAAGGAAGTTACAAATCTCTAAAGAAAGGACATTAGAAAAATCCCTGTAAGTATACTTATCTGAGTTGCTAACCAGGAGTCAAGGTATGAGAGAGATAGGTGGGTAGGTAAAAGATATTAAGGAAAAAAAAAAAAAAAAAAACTCTTAAGTTTATGATCCAGATCTTTAACTTGATTTGATAAATAGTTCTGTAACTTATTCATTTTATTGCAATTTATTGTTACTTTGTCATATTGACACCCAGTGGACAACAAGGGAATATATACTTATCCTGAACATTAACAAAACCCCATTATATTTAAAAAAAATACTAATTTTATAAGAACTAGAAAAAATAATTTTTAAACTAAAATTATTAAAATATAATTTAACTTTTAGTGATTTAGAAGCATATACCTTTGAACAATTTTTTTTTTTTATTTTGAAAGTAATTAAGATTTTATACTTGAACCAGGGTACTGAATTATAAAAATCAATTATCACTGAACACTGTAGAAAAGTTTGATCAATGAAATGCTAAAAAAAACGACTTGCTGATTAGTGACAGACAACTTTGTTCACAAACATAAAAGCCTCATTATGGAGTAGAATGTTACGAAAGTTAGAAAGTCTTACGGAATAGAAGCATGTTATAAACACCTGAATATTGAAATCGTGTACAATAGCAAGGGAACTGACATGGGCTTTATGAGGCTTCATTTCTGGTTGAATCATTTCCACTTACAAGCTGCTTTACTTTGGATATGCCATTTGCACTTTCTGGGCCTCACCGAGGCAATTAGTACAGATAATACCTAAAAGTCCTTTGAGATCATCTAGCCTAGGATTTTAGATTTGTGTTACCTGAGATATACATGATACCAAAAAAAACCAAACTTGTTGCTGTCGAGTCGATTCTGACTCATAGCGACTCTGTAGGACAGAGTAGAACTGCCCAATAGGGTTTCCAAGGAGCGCCTGGTGGATTAGAACTGTTGATCTTTTGGATAGCAGCTGAGCTATACGATAGGCTTGAATTATTAGATTTCCTTCTGCATAGAAAATGTTAAGGGCTCCATAACACATTCCACATACAAAGAAATACAATCAGTTATCTAGACTTTCACTTAAACATCAAGAGAAATAATATAGTAATTAATCAAGACTTCTATAAATTGCTTTAAAATTTTCCATAGTTCCTATTAAATACTATCAATATAAAAATTTCTTTGTTTAACTTACAATTTGCTAGGCACTTCATGGCAGATAATACCCAGTGAGGGAGGTCATCTATTAAAATAAAAAAACAGAACATTTTAAAGTAAATCACACAATTACTGTAACAGTGTATTTTAAAATCTCACATTTATTATTTCTGATTGTATATACATATAATACACACACACACACACACACACACACACACACACACACACACACAACTTATAAGTAGTTTGAACCTATCGGCTGCCCCACAGGAGAAAAGACCTGGTGATCTGCTCCTATAAAGATTACAGCCTAGGAAACCCTACTGGGCAGATCTACTCTGTCCTATAGGGTTGCTATGAGTTGGAATCGACTCGACAGCACACAACAACAAAAACACCAGGGTTAAAAAGTATTGTATGTTTAACATGACATAGAACCAAGTCAAAATTTTAAAATATAGCTTAAAAAGTTTATAAAGATAGAAATCTTGAATTTGACTCTTCCCACAATATATAAAACAACTAAATACCCCAAAATCAAGGATTAACTTATAAGGGGTTTGGAAATAAACTTCTAACATTCATCTTTATCCACTACCAACAACCTCTTTATTGTTGTTTCTGTTCTGTCTATAGCTATGCCATTTGAATATTAGCTGATTTTGGCAAAACGTGATCAAAAAGAGCTATATCTGAATATTAGGTTCTTGGGTGGGGCAAAGATTAGTGCTTCAGACTCACTCAGTGGTGTTACAGAAGCAAGGCTTGACAATCTGCTTGTGTAAAGATTAAAAAAAAAACCTGTTGCAGTGGAGTCAATTCCAATTCATAGCGACCCTACCGGACAGAGTAGAATTGCCCCATAGAGTTTCCAAGGAGTGGCTGGTAGATTCAAACTGCCAGACCTTTTGGTTAGCAGCTGAACTCTTAACCACTGTGCCACCAATGCTCCTTGTAAAAGATTACAGCCAAGAAAACCCTATGGAGCAATTCTACTCTGTAACACATGGGGCTGCCGTGAGTCGAAATCAACTCAATGGCAAAGTATTTGGTGTTGGTTTCATGAGGCTTGCTTAAAGTCTTTCAATTGCCACTAACTGAAATATGCTTTGTAAAAATTTAGCTATTTTTGACACAAACACAAAAACCACACACACATTTGACTTGAAAAGTTTATGGTTAGAAAGAGTAGACAGCTTGGATGAGAGTATATACTATTAAGCATGTTATTTTAGGTAATAAAAGATGGGACTGGTCCAAGGCCACATGCATATACAACACCATGAACTCATCAAAACTCATCAGGTTTGACATTTACATTTGTTTCTATAATTAAAACCTCAAAGTTCTTGCCCACAGAGAGAAACTCAAGGTCATGCATGTCAGTTAATTCTATAAACAGCAATTTACTATAAAAAAGATGAGTCAACATTTTGAAAGTATATTTATTTACAATCTAAGTTTTCTAATGCATCTGGCTTGAATTATTTTCCTGATTTTCTTATCTTGTATCTGAAATCAATACATTACATAACTACAAAACAAAACAAAAACCAAATAAACCCACTGTAGGCAAGTCAATTCTGACTCACAGTGACCCTATAGGACAGAGTAGAATTGCCCCACAGGGTTTCCAAGGCTGTAATCTTTATGAAAGCAGACTGCCACATCTTTCTCCAGCAGCGCAGTTGGTGGGTTTGAACCACTGACCTTTGGTTAGCAGCCTAGTACTCTAACCACTGCATCACTAGGGCTCCTGTGTAACTACACATAATACAAAAAAGTCAGTGCCCTTTAGAACACTTGTGTTGAGAATCTGGACTTACATTTTCTGTGTTACTACAGTTTTGTGTACGTTTTGAGCCCTGCAAATGTACATTTAATTATTTATGTAGGCTCCATGAAGGCATGGATCATCCTATGTTGTCCATCACTAAATCTTTAGCACAGTGCCTGGCACACTATAGGTCTTCAAAAAAAAATTTGGTTTATCAATAATTTTTATTGTACTTTTATACCCTTTGGATATTTAACATAGTCCTTTTATTTTATTTTTTTAAATCCTACATAAATTTACCTTAGGGCTAAAATATTTCTCATAATAGCATAAATAGCTTCACTTAAAAATGTTCCCCTGTGATTGCTAAAGCAGCTGTGGTGATATAACAATAGCCCCCCAATGCTTCCCCAATTAAAGAATTCAACTTGCAGCTTTCTACCTTTACTTTATCTGTCACCTTTGTTAGCAAGTTTGAAAAGATTGTGACTTTTTTTACTATGTAAGCTTAGTGCTACCAACCTGATTTGTCTTGTAGTATAACTACTCCATGTTTACTGGTATTGGTCATGTTGTACATTATATATTGAGGAATTACTTGTCTTGGATTTATGACTTCTTCTAGGGATGGCACACCTAAAACAGTTTGTAGGCTAAACAAAAGAAAGAACAGAAAAAAGTTTTTCCCCCACAAAATAAGTAGAATAGAATACAAATGTGAAAATGTATGACTGGAAAACAAGCAAATAAAGGCAGGAGAATGTTTTGTTTTTCTTTTAACAAAACTTATAAGGCTTATATTTAGTATCCATTTTCAAATATATTTATCTCAATAATCTTCTAAGGAGTCCAGTATGGACCCCAATGTAAAGCTACAGTTCTGAGTCAAATTAAAAGCACATCATATGCAAAACATTCTATTTCTACTATACCAGAGCTATAACAAGAACATTTATTAAGAAACATATATGCAGATTAAATTCTAAGCTTTAAGGACTAATCCGTTCTTTTTCATTTGCCTATTTTGATGAAAATGTCAAATCAACAATCTAAGCACCCCGGGAACTTGGTTACAGCTTAGTTTTAGCTTACTAGATCAGAATAATATATCTCCAAACTTCTTCGACATCTTCCTGGCTTATTTCTCTGTTATCAATTGAGTTTTCTTGATCTTCATTGATTATTTCACGCTTTACTTCCCCCGTATTTTCCTAAAAAAAACCCCAAAAAACCATGGTTTAATTTGTTATGCTTAAAATAAAGAAATACGAATGGATATTACCCTCAATATTTAGTAATTCTATTAATATCAGTCCATTGTGAAGTTACAAGGTAGTGTCACCTGAAGAAATGTTACATATGGTGATGGAGTTTTTGGTTTTGTAGCTGTCCCTGTAATACTCCTCAAGTCAATTTAAAACAAAACATGCTTAAATTATATAAATATTGTTTCAAGTATGCCTCACTACCATTTTTATAACTGATTCTTTGGGTTCCAAACAAATTTACACAAAAGTTTTAAAATACAATGTAGGTTGGGAGATTTCAGTGTTGGCTTCAAATGTGAAAGAATTACTTAATTTTTAATGATTCTATTATTGACCACATGGTAATTATATTTAAACTGGTGACTAGCAAAAGAATGCTTTACCTGAGAGGAATGTAATCCATGCTTTTTAGGAGTTCTACGAGATAAGTTTCGTAATTTAAAAGTATTATCCTTATCTTTGGAAAAGTTCTCTACGCTGTTTTTTCTCAATTCTGGATGCCTTCGTGGAAGACTTTTGAGTGGAGAAGTTGTAGGAAATCTAGTTTAAAAACAATATGCAATTAAATAATATAAGATCAGAAAAAAAACTTTTAGAGCCAGTGTATTAAAAAAAAAAAAAATCGCAGAAAGAACCCGACTTGCATTATCAAGAAATGGAGATGCCACATAAATCCATTTTCCCATTAAACTTTTCTAAACTCTTCTAATAGTTTCCTGCTTTCTTTAGTATATTATACATCTTTTAACTTTATTTTTGGATTTTTGCTGTTAGGTGCTGTCGAGTTGACTTTGACTCACAGGGACCCCATGTGACAGAGTAGAACTGCCCCATAGGGTTTTCCAGGCTGTAATCTTTACAGGAGCAGATTGCCAGGTCTGTCTTCTTTGCAGCCTGTAGGTGGGTTCAAACCTCATTCTGGTTAGCAGTTGAGCGCTTAACTGTTGTGCCACCAGGGCTCCTTTATTTCTGGGTAACTCAGGGTTATTTATTGTTAGGATCAATTTTGTTGGAGAGCTATTGCTTATGTACAAAATGGCTTTAGAATACCACATTTTCTGAATTCCTTTGATAAGCTATCTAATTTGTATATATTTTCTGCCCTTTGTTTGACTGTGATTGTTCTCATTTCAGGCGGTGGTCTATGTTGCTCCCGCTGATTATAGTGTTCTTTCTTCCTTTCATTTCATTATAAAATATTTCAGAGACACATAAAAGTATAGAGAATACAAACCAATATCCACATATGTAACTGTAAACCAGTGTAATTATTAACATTTTGCCACAGACTATTTATTTTTAATGAAAGAAAATATTATAGATTGAAGTCCCCTGTGTATTGTTTGCTTATTCCATTTCGTTCCTTCCCTTCCTAAAGGAAATCGGTAACCTAAAGTTGAGGCATTTCCTTCTTGTCCATGTTTTTTGCTTTTAATATACATAAACAAGATATGGTTTGATGTGTTTTTACTTTATGGTATCTTTTATCATACACTAAATTTATACATGTTTTTAGTGCCCTTATAAGTTCTTTCTTACCCCAATGTCATAAATTATTTTCATATACTTTCTCTTAAGTTTTATTTTTCATATTTAGGTGTTTAATCCATATACAATTTATTTTTGTGGCACAGATCAAGATCTAATTTTATTTTTTTGCTCATAGATACCTAATGGTCTGAACACATTTATTGAATAATCTTTCTTTTACCGTTTGATTGTGAAGCTATACTGGTCTTATACTAACTTCCCATATATATGTGGGTTTATTTTTTCAATACTTAATTTTTTAAATTTAATTTAAGCCTGGATATCAGGTAAGGCAATTCTCCTTCTCCTTGTTCTTTAAAATTGCCTTGGGTCTTTGCATTTCCAAATTAATTTTAGAATCTGTTTGTCAAAATCTACAAGAAATTATATTGGGGATTTGAATGAAAATGCACTGAATTTATATATTAATTCGGGAAGAACTGACATTTATGATACTAAGTCTTCTCATTTACGAACAGGGCATCTGTTTCCATTTATTCCCTTCAATAAAATTTCATAATTTCCCTTAGTAAGGACTTGCATATTTTGGGTAAACTTTATTTCTAGGTACTTTAAAGCTTTGTTAGCATTGTAAAAGACTAGGGTCAGAGAGACTAGTTAAGGAGTTACTGAAGAAATCCAGGTAAGAGAGAATAATGGCATAAAAAAAAGAACATTCATAGTAGAGAAACGGGCAGATTAGAGAACTAATTAAGTAGCATTATTGATATGATTTGATAATTATATTTGAAGGGGAGAGGAAAAAGAAAAAAATCTAAGCAACTACAGAGAAGACAGTACCATTCACTCGTATATGGAACATAAGAGGATGTGATTTAGGTTAGGGGAAGATAGGAATTTTCCGTATGCCACATTTGAAGTGTCTGTCTAGAAAGCAGTTTAATAAATGGGTCTAAAGCTCAGGAGAGATATTTGGGCTGGAGATTTGGAAGTCATAGGAAAAGCAGATGAAGACATGACATGAGACTGCCCAGGGACAGAGGTGAACTGAGACAAGTCCATGATCTTGAGTACCAGTAATAGTTAAATGGGCGAGCAATAGCACAGGAGCCCACAAAGATGACTGAGAAGTAGTTAAGAGAGGAAAGCTTTGTAGTGTTATGAAAAGTAGACGATACATGCTTATTACTGTAATTTACTTGTATGACATAAATCTTTTTTGGCCCACAGGTGAGAATCAATTTCTAGGACATTTCAATAGAAAAGAAGTAATGTTGTAGAGAAAAAAAGCATGGACATTAGAATCCAAAGACCTAGTTTAACGGATCTATAACAAAGAACAGAGGGTGCATGTGAGAGAAAAAGCAATTACGTTGGCCCTAGGGAGTCAGAAATACTGCACAGCGGAGGCTATAATGGAGCTAAGATTAGAAAAAAATGTATAAATTTGCCAGTCTAACAAACATGTTTAGTATTTCAATGTGGAAGAATATTTCAGACAGAGGGAACAAGATTTGCAGAAGCACGGCCTCAGTTTCCTCATCTGTAAAAAGGGGTTAATACCTACTCTGCTTGGCTAGTCTAGGGGTTATACAAGAAAATATCTAAATCATAAAGTAGGGTTTCTGGTACATGATAACTGCTTAATAAATATTCTCTAGACCCTGTGGTACATATATTTCTTCCGTTATTTATTATACAAAGTTTGCTATTATTTATCTTGTCACATGTATTCTTAGATTATAATAGATTATATGTTCCTTGGGAGCAAGGACCTGTGAATTTGTCTGCAAATCCAGAATCTGTGAACCTAAAAACCAGTAATAATTGGTCCTTGAAATGTGATAGGGCTTTCAAAATATACAGAATAATAATTTCTCACTCTTTTCACCTACCTCCCTATTAAATATACTATTTCACATTTTAAAAATTTGAGTTTTGTAGCAATTATCTTTAACCTTACTATTTTTCTGAACGGTTTTAACTGGACTAGGAACAGTAAGTTTTCTAAAGAACACACTTCTTCTGCTGAAGAAGCTGCTGTTTTAGTGAAAATGTAGAAGTGGAGAGAAATAAAGCTTTATTGTTAAGTAATTCAATTTTGCAGTTATATATCTGTTCAGTACCTGAATAGCTGATTGTTGTCATCAAGATTTTCTGATCCCCACCTGCCTTTGATATCTTCGATGACATGATTCTTAAGAAATTTCCTCAGCAGTTGGATAGTCTGTTGCCTTGTAACTTCAGGACCAAAATTGCTATTATTTTTTAATAGGTCATAAAGCCACTCCACTGCTTCACCTGCTGTGAAACAATTGCCATATTTTTTAAAGTGTTGCCTATGTTTTCTTAGAGGCATTCCTGCCCGAAAAGATGTGGTAACTTCATTCCACTGCAAAAAGAAGGGGGGTGGGGGTAGGGGAGGGGGACAAAAGCTTTTAACGATTTGACATAAATTAGACCAACAAATCTTTCATTGTAACTGATTACCCTGTAAAAATTCATGAAGAAATTATTCAGCTTATTTGTGTTGCATAAAGTTTTATACCTCATTATACATTTCATTGATAATATTTTTATGTAATAGTTTTTACGAAAAACATTCCATTGGATGGTCAACTTATTTAGGAAGCCTAGGAATAAGGAAGGAGACATGCAATGACCTGCTTCTTGGTCCTCAATAGAGAAAGCATTTGTTCCTGTTTTTCACCTCAACTATTATCAAGAACTCATGGTGACCTTTGTGTGTCAGAGTAGAACTGTGCTCCATAGGGCTTTCAGTGGCTGATTTTTTGGAAGTAGATTGCCAGGCCTTTCTTCTGAGGAGCCTCTGGGTGGACTTGAACCTCCAACCTTTTGGTAGAATCAACTGGTGGTAGTGAAAATATTGAGAACATACTGGTAGTATTTGTGTCAGGCACTATGCTTTATATTGATCATTTCACTGTAATTCTCACAATTCTATGAATAGGTACTAATATTTCCCCTTTTATAGATAAACAAAATGAAGCACAGAGAAAGTCAATAATTTGGCCAAGTTCACACAGCTAAATGTTGAACCCAGGCATTCAAACTCAGGTTTGATTAACTAAAACCTGTACTATCAACTAACATGCTGGCCAAACAAAACTCAAGGCAGGCAACAGTTTTACTGGCAAAATACCTTTAATATTAAAACAGTTTATGTATTTACTATAGTTTATGTACTTACTTACATGAAGATTCCTATAGGGAACATAGAACAGACTGAATAACTTAAGTAAACTGCAAGCGCATTGCATATTTAATTACTCTGTGACATATTTACATTTCAAAAAGATACTAATGTTTTCCAAATTGTCCCCAAATCAGCTAAATTTTTAGGTTTGTGGTCCTTCTAACAACGGAAAACAGATGTGGTGCAGAATAAACACATCTCTTTTCAACTGAAAAATTCTACTAGGTCAAGAAATTTGATTTGTAACCTGAGCTATGCCACTACTAGCTTTATTACCACTTATCTAACCTATGTGGCCCCAACATCACAACGCAAACTTTATTACCACTTATCTAACCTATGTGGCCCCAACATCACAATGCAAAATTTAAGGACCAAAAATACAGTTGTTGTTAGTTGCCATTGAGTAGATTCTAACTTATGGCGACCCCATATGTGCAAAGTAGAACTGCTCCATAGGTTTTTCAAGGCTATCATATTTCAGCAGCAGATCACCAAGTCTGTCCTCCGAGGTGCCTCTGGGTGGGTTCAAACTGCCAACCTTTCTGCTAGTAGTCAAGCACTTAATCCTTTGAGCGACCCAAGAACTCAAAAAATACAGTAATTATTCTTTTCTTCCCATGTTATTTATTTATTCAAGAAACATATAATGAACTGCCTACTATGTAGTAGCCTGGGAACACAGTAGTGAAAATGACAGAAGGGGTCCCTGACCTTAACTAAATTACAGGATGTCTTTTCCTGAGATGCAGTACAGTGTATTGGTTTTAAGAGTGGGCTCTGGAGTCAAACTGCTAGAGTTTGTTTCCTGGCTCTAGCTCTACCGCTTATTGCTTAATATGACCTTTTGGGCAGGTTATTTTACGTTTCTGTGCCTCAGTCTTCTCATCCATAAAATGGGGATAATAGTATAGGGTCTATAGGGTCACTGTGAGTCAGAATCAAATCGACGGCAGTGCGTTTGGTTTTGGTTTAATAGGCTTGTTGAATGCATAAAAGGATTTAATACATTTACTGGTAAGCGCTTAATAAAAGAAGAAGACCCTCAACGAGATGGATTGACATAGTGGCTGCAACAATGGGCTCAAGCATAACAATTGTGAGCATGGCGCAGGACGGGGCAGTGTTTCCTTCCGTAGTACATAGGGTCGCTATGAGTCAGAATCAACTTGACGGCACCTGACAATAACAACTTAGTAAATGTTTTTTCCAATGTGCTTGTTCTACTTTCATCTAATTTAATGAATTTTTACAATAATGTGACTTGATTAAGGTTCCTTCAGTCCTAAATTCTATCCTTTATAAGGATAAACACAATCAATAACTTGCTGAGCAGCAGAATCTATGTAGAGAACACCATACCAGGAAGATCTGAATTCTCCCAGCCCTGCCACTTACTGGTTATTGGGCTTCAGGAGAGTTACGTAACTTTTCTGAGCTGCAGTTTCCACACAGATAAAGTAGGGCTAATAATACATGCCCACCTTAGAGGATGTCCTGAGAAGATACTAGGATACTATATGTGAAAATACCGTTGTGACCTACAGAATATCAGTCAAATGCAACAACAGTGCTACTAAATATCTAAATGTACAAGACACTGTATAACAGTATACATCCAGTGACCACCAACAATGGTTATTTATTGATGGGTACTTCAAAATATTTCTGTCTTTTGAAATAGGCAGCTGTTACCTGGTGCTTTTTGGCCAGGACCTAGTAAAATCTATGCATTCTGCACCAAATTCGCCAGGCCCAGCAAAATGAAGCTGCCACATTAGGGCTTGTCCTCAATTTGACCCTACAAAGCACAAAAATCCATTCCAAATTGTTCTCTGACCCTCACAGGGGTAGAAAGGCGTGGGGAGCGGCTAAAATCGGAATGTTCTCGGGACGCTCAGGGGTCTCCTGACAAAGTGAGAGTATGATGCAGCTTTCCCAGAGCGTTTCCCCTTGGACCTAGCGCCCCAGAGGGCCGAGACCCTCAAAAGAGGTGGGAGAGGCGCGTCCGGCGAGGGTTCTGCGACACCTGTTTATTCCCCTCACCCTCCTTAGCATCAGGGAGTCCTGGTGGCGCAGGGGTCAAAGGGCTTGGCTGCTAACCGAAAGGTCGCTCTGCGTGAGAAAGATGTGGCAGTCTGCTTCCATAAAGACTACAGCCCTGGAAACCCTATAGGGCAGTTCTATTCTGTTCTATAGGGTCGCTATGAGTCAGAATCGACTCCCTGGCAGTGAGTTGGTTGTTTCCTTTGTATTGATCCAAGGGGCTCTGGGACCCATTGCTTCGACCAGGGTATAGTTACAAACGGTTCCATTTAAAGTGGAAGCCGCCCCCAGCCCGGCTGGTGAATCTCGTCGTCCCGCTCTGACTTACCAATTTGGTGGCTCGATAAGGCCCAGGAGGCACACCTCGATTCTCCATTTCGCCCACAGGGCCCAGAGGTCTGTCAGAGCCAGCTGCGGCCCATGACTCGCGGTCCCGGAGGTAGCCAGGCACTACCGTTGGCCCCGCCGCCGATTTGAATACTCTGAAGAGTTGCGCTGATTGGCTGGGCCGGAGGGTCACGTGACGCCACCGCTAATCCAGTGTGGGAACAGGCCGTGGAGCCAAGGTAGGTAGAGGCCTACGTCGGTCCGGGAGACCCGGTAGGAGGGCACTGGCTGGTCCTGCGGTTCTGGGCGGGGGACTCCTGGCCCGACGGATGGCGCTCCTCCTGGCGGCCGGACCCATGGGACAGGCTCGGGCTTCACCCGACTTCCCTGGCGCTGCTTCGCCCTCTTGCGGTCGTTGCGAGGCGGAGTTGAGTTTCTGCGCTCAGAAGGCGGGGTGGGGGTGGGGAGGGGAGGGGTGCCGGAGCTTTAAGTCCCAAACAAGATTGAACTCTAGCCTTTTGTTTAAAGGAATTTGAAATTCCAAAAGAACGGGGTGGGAGGGGAAGGCTCTTCTACCGGACCTCAAAGGATCTCCGTGTGGCGCTGTGGTTAAGAGCTCAGTTGCTAACCAAAAGGTCGGTAGTTGGAATCCACTAGCCGCTTGGAAACCCTATGGGGCAATTCTACTCTGTCCTGTAGGGTCGCTATGAGTTAGAATCAACTCGAGGGTCAGTGCTTCAACAGGTTTCCAGTAGGGTTAGCAAGTAAAGCAAAGCACCCCCACCGCGTACGTTTCCTGCACTGCCACTAGTTGTTTTGCTTCTAAAAAAACTTTTAGGATGTTTGCAGCGCGCTCTCTCCTACGTCTCAGCAGAGGCCCCAACGCAAAAATGTAGTTTTAAAACTCCCCTGAATGCAGTTGGAGAATGGAGCATAAGTAGATTTCCATAAGTGTACGCAGTGTGGGGCTCGGAAAAGCTGTAAAACTTGCCAAACTGCTTCATTTAAAATCTGCCGTATCTTTATAAGGGGGCCCTGGTGGCGCAGTGCTTAAGAGCTCGGCAGCAAACCAAAAGGTCAGCAGTTGGAATCCACCAGCCGCTCCTTGGAAACCGCATGGTGCAGTTCTACTCTGTCCTATAGTGTTGATGTGAGCCGGAATCGACTCCACGGCAAAAGGTTTGGTTTTTGGTTCTCATTATAAGAATACGAGTTATGTTTACATCATGACCATACATTTAAAAATGTAGTGGGATCTTGGAAAATAAATCTGCAAAAAACGTCGTTGTCGTTTTACAAATGTTCAGAGCGTTGAAGACACTTGCCCAAAGTCTTGGGTCCAGTTGGCAGAGCTCAGACTTCATCCTCTTATAAGTGCTCCTTCTGTTACCTGTATGAAACTATTTGATGCTAGGAATTCCTTAGTACAGCAGACTGAAAGGATGCATGAATGGTTTGAAGCTGTGGTAGAATTAATTTGGAAATTAAACAGCAATTTTAGAGTATAGGACTTCAGGAGAGAGAAGAGAAAATGTATTAGGGAGGAGTGGTAGTGTCATGCTCTGGAGTTTACCTTAACCATAGAACTATTAAGGATAGTTCAAGTGGAGATGCATCTGTTTTCTGAGCAGGGCTAGTCAGTAGGAATTTTGAAAACAGTCAACCAAATTTTGCATTTGTGTTAAGGAAAAGATGTAAAATAATAGATGTTACAAAATAGTGTTAATGATTTTTTTTATCTGGCTTTAGAATGCAATGTCCTAGAATTTTTTTCTTTTTCTTTTTTCTCTTGCAGCCTATTTCCCTTCAGAATGAAATGAAGATGAGAATGTGAAAGCAAAAATTTATTTTGCATTTTTGCTCACTTCTCAGGTTTGGAATTGACTGTACAGCAGCTAACAACAACTAGTTGAAAATCATCTCACACACAGGCTTAGGTGTTATGAGTAAAAACATAACAAAACAAAACAAACCAAACCTTTGCCGTTGAGTTGATTCCGCCACCTGATGCCCCAATGTGTTACAGAGTAGAACTGCTCCACAGGATTTTCTTGGCTGTAATATTTATGGAAGCAGATCGCCAGGCCTTTCTTCTACAGTACTGCTGAGTGAGTTCGAACTGCCAACTTTTAAGTTAGTAGTCAGGTACAAACAGGTGTTATGAGTAGTCGCAGCTTAATATTACCAATGTTTCTAAGATATACACTGACAGGGAATACCATTAATGTCACAAAATTAATTTAAAACTATAAGATACCTGAAACATTTTAAAGGGTGACTATGAAAGTAAATCCAAAATTAAGTTTATAAGAGAATGGTTGCAGAAGCTCTAAGAAGCCATGCGGCAAGACGTGGGTTTCACATCTTGGGAAAGCCTCTGAGACTCTCACTGTTTTCTAGATGCTTTCACTGTATCTGGACTCATTCTGCATTATCTACCTTCAGATTGACAGTTTCTTTAGATAAGAAAATATCTACAGTCAGGTTTTTGTCAAATGTGGGTGTTCTTGGTTTCTTTAAGGTGACTTTGCACATCTCTGCTCTTAGCCATTATTTACTGATTTCATAACTTAACTCTTGGGAGTCATTTCTCTCCTTTCCAGATTTTGGGAGTCACTTTATCATCCTTTTCCTTATTCCCCTACATCACAATTTCTCAGAGAGGGTAACAATGACCTGCATTAGAATTACCTGGGGTACTTTTTAAAATACTGGTTCCTGGGATCCCCAAATGGTGTTTGGGGAGTGGGGGTGTATGTGTGATATGAGAGGGTAGATTCATGGTACTTTCTTAGGGATGGAGGAGCCTGGATCTCTGAAGACTTCTTGGAGCTGAAATGATATGCTTTAATACCCACAGACTGCCTACCTGTGGACTTACATGTGAAAGAAATATAAGGTTCTTTCATGGGTTGATTTGTGTCACCCAAAAAGATACGTTCAGTTTCTAATCCCCAGTACTCATGAATGTGACGTTATTTGAAAATAGTGTCTTTGAAGATATAATTAGTGAACATGAAGTCATACTGGAGTAGGGTGGGCCCTAGTCCAGGGTGACTGGTGTCTTTATAAAAAAGAGAAGAGACACGGAGAGACAGGCACAGAGGGAAGATGACCATGTGAAGACAGAAGCAGTTATTGGAGTTATGCTGCCACAAGCCAAGGTATTCCTGGTGCTCTCAGAAGCTGTAAGAGGCAAGGAACCATCTTCCCCTAGAGCCTTCAGAGAGAGCATGGCCTTGCTGCCAACGTGAATTCAAACCTGTAGCCTCCAGGACTGTGAGAGAGTAAATGTCTGGTGTTTTAAGCCACCCAGTTTGTGGTCCTCTGTTATCACAGACCCAGAAAACTAATACAGCTTCTCTTAATTTACTCTTTCTCACAGATGAACCTGTTCCTAACAGATACAATGACAATCACAAAAGAAAATGAAATGAATGCATCATCTCTTAAATATGCTGAGACACAAATTTTTTTGCACCTAGACAGAAATTATTTATCCCAGGAGGCTTTCTCCACTCTGCTCACTAGTTTCATTTATTCCCATTAGAATGACTTTATCTAGTTTTTTCACTGCTATATTTCTAGACTGTAAAACAGCACATAATGGAATCTTAATAAATAGTTGGTAGATGGATGCAGTTTTTTCTTACCACCAAAAAGAAAGTTTATATATAGGTAATCCAATCCATTTATCTTTTGTTCATAGGAAACGTTTTATGCAATATGCCTGAATATTTGTAAGATTTATCCTTAAAGTTTAGCCATTCCACCAGGCTAAGTCTAGTTATGGGTCTTATTTCATGATCTTCTCTAGGATTTGGTCTAGTCTGAGAGAATTTCCTCTATTTTAAATTGCATTAGGCTGTTTTCCTCCCTGTTCAGAAACTCTTGTTGATTATTTGATGTCTTGGATCTGATATTTCTGATATCCTTCTATAATTTTATTATTATTATTTTTTCTCAAGTTCTGAAAAAATTCTTCTGGCTGAGCTTCTGATTCACTGTTTTCCTTTTGCATCCAGCCTCTCATTCATCTCCAATAAGCTTTTCTAATCTCTAATTATTAATTTCTGTGTAGCCTCTTGATTTAGGCCTGAGAATATGAATTAAAGTTTAATTATTTTCCTCTTATTTTTTACAGTAACTCACTGTAAAATGCTCAAAATTGATCCTCTTTTTTTGGAGTGCTGATTCTTATGTGGGTTGATTTTTTTTTTAATGTATTCTTATCGAGGTATTTTTGTGTTTGTTTTTAATTTAGTATGATTAGTTAAGATGAGCCCCAGTAAAGATCAGGTAAGTCCACATTCGTATTTTCAAATAATTACTTTTTACGTTTCAAACATTCATTTCCAAGATTCTGTATCCTCAAGTGTGCAGACAGCTGATATCGTTTAGGTTTAGAAGTATAGCTGACATTGTTTTGTCTGGCAATTAGCCCTCATTTCTTCCTGCTTCCTCATTTGGGGAACTATTTGTCCCACTCTAACTTGTATTCTGAATGGGCATTTCTGTCTTCTCATATGACTTCCCCTCTTGCTCTCTAGGAATGAACATTTGACCCAACCGAGCTATAGTATTTTGCTCCCCCAAGTCAATGACTCAAGATGAGTCAGTCAGAGTCCTCTGAAAATTTTTAAACTGAGTCAAGAAGGAAGAGCCTTATTTTTCTGATGACCAAGCTGAGGGGATAGAAGCCAAAAGCCAGTAGTGGCTGTAGTGTCAGCTGAATGGAAAATCGTGGTCAGGTAGAATGCACTGATACCCAAAGAGAAACAGAAAAGAGCAAAAGAGTGCTAGTTTCAGTCTTTCTGAGGCTAATCACATTCCTAGAATTAGATTACATGATCCAATAAATATATACACATATA